CTTTCGAAACGATGCGCGCCGAAATACAACCGGCTGACAGAGAGAAATACGAATGATCCGTTTTAAGGGAGTAAAAAGAACACATTATGCTCGTGCAGGACGCGGCGAAAGAACTCGCCTGGTTGGTATTTGCACTTCAAGCGCATCTTGCGGCTATTTGCATCTCATTGCAAACGTTATCACTTTCGTTAACCAAGTAGAATAGTAGATTTTCGGGCTTACATGTTGCGGACGTAGATTCGAGCAGATGCGCAGCGCGCTCTGCCGCGATAAAAACTTCGGCGATACGCGGTCGCAAAGTTTTCGGCGTTGGTTGCAACATTACGTTGGTGACGCAGAATGTACGGGGATGAAAATTGCAAATTGCGATCAAAAGAAAGAAGGAAAAGTACGCATTTCGTTTGAGAAAACTTTCGCCACGAATAAAAATGGATTATTTTTCAGGAAAGGAAAAAAACGGAGAACGGTTTCCTTGAATGCAAAGATATAGAATTAAGTTGCGAAATATAACCAGCGCGATACCTATACAATTATCTGTACGTGTATATAATTATCTATTCAGTTATTAGCCATGTCGTTCATGGAGTTTTATCGAGTCTCGATAAACTCACAGTCGAATGAATATTTTATTCTTATTGACAGAAAACCATTAATTATCATTTTAGCTTCGTTCGTTTCTAACTTGTTAATGTACGAAATATGACAGAAGTTTCCTTTCATTTCTGCATTTTCTTTCATTTAACGTTTCTTTGACCTATTCGAACGTCATCTTTTCTCATAAAAGTTACAATATCCAGCTTGAAACATCTTTATAATTAATTCTCTTCACATTTAATTCTATCGAAATAAAATAAAATTAAATAAACGGATTATATTTGAACAATTTCTAGGCTTATATAAATTACTTATAAAAATAAAAATTTCTATCTTTGATTTTGTTAAAGTGAAATTTATATATAAATAGATTTTAGTCTGATCAAAAAATTAGCGTACAAGAACCGATTTGCTGAAACTTTAGTTTCATCTGCGGAAAAAATTCCGGTGTCGAGATGTGTTAAGCGTTACAAACTTTAAACGATAAAACTTTCCTTAAGTCAATTTTTTCAATCGTGCCTCTACTATCTGAGACTCCCAAGATGGTAAGACGCTTCGCGATTGCGAACGCCGCGATAAAAGGGGGCTTAAAAGAAGTTGGCACGATTTGACGGTGTGACGTGTAATAAGGACGGTGTATCGACACTCGCGACAAGTAATCGAATGAGAATCACGGTGGCCGATAGAAACATTATTGACGCCGTCAGCGTCGACGGGAATTAGGTTTAAGACGTTTGCGAGAGAAAAGTTTTGGAGAGAGGAACAGCGGATCGCGAAGATCCTCGAGATCCTAAGACTCACCGGAATGTCCCCGTGCTCAACAGGGGCGGGGATCGAACGACGGATAATATTTGAGTTTTCGAAGGCCATCAAACCCGAACGAGGAGTAGACAAGGCCGAAGATCGTGGGTTAAGTAAGTGGTTAAGAGGATAGCGCCGCGCTGCTGGGGTAATGGAATAAAAACACTCGACACACCGATGTCGTCACCTTCGACCCGGGGATGGTCGAGTGAGAGGGACAGCAGCGTGAGCGCGCTGTCGCTTCCTTTTTTCTCGGACCCGAAAGGAGAAGGACGCGCGCGTCAAGAGTTTCGTCGGAAAACACTCATATTCCGGATCTTCACGAAACGTGGCGCGAAAATATTTCGCGGTCTCAGTACAGTTGGAACATCTCTTATTAATTTCGCGACGATGTGTGATTCAACCCTTTGTTGTTTCACGTTTCGCTGTCAAAATATTGCTGTAGCGTGACGTGCGCGGTTTCTTCGGTTGTTTGAAGGCGAGAACAAAGCTCCCGCCTCATATTTCAACCTCAGCGATATCAAAGTATTTTTTATGACAGTAAATATCAAATATTTCACACTTATTAGTTAAATATTAAATATTTTTCTAAATATTTAATCCCATCTTTAAAAGGCATGTAAACTCGCATTCATCGTTTCTGCGACGCCGATTGATTATCTCGATACGCGTTGCGTGTTATTTCGTGCTATCGAGCGATTATCACTGCTATTTTGTAATTAAAAGAATAAATGGCGCGCTTGTGTATGTCTAGCCAAATTATTAAAATATAAACAAAAGATTGTTATATCGTAATGGAAATTTCTTTACTCAAGAAGATTCTTGAACGATATTGTATTATTATCCTATTTTAATTTTCTTAAATATGATTATGAAAATTTTGACATATAATAAATAATAATTTGGAAAGTATAATACAATCTACATATTTATTTTAAAAATATATTCTAAAGTGTGCGTTATTTTTACATTTTTATACAACATTTTTCTTCACAAATTAATTATAATCTTATCATTTATAAAAAGTCACATTTTTTTAGTTTCAAAATCTGGGGCAAATGTACGTCGACTTTCGCCGCAGACTGGATCGGCGAATTAATGCCGCGTGATGTAAAGTGAATTACGCGATTAAATGGAGGAAATATGAAATTTCCTGATATCAAGGGATGCACATTGGAATTTGCTCAATCGACAAAGTCGATTACGATCGCGTTTCAGCGTAAATTAGAGGCGAGGCGACAGGCCGGGAATTTTCGTTAATGATGCCCGATAGTATGTATATACGCGAAAAGCGTATACGCATCTGCGATCTCTTTTTGTACACTTATGGTTGCTTTGTACGCAGTATATATGTATCAATTTGCAGAATTGCACGCCACCCTTGGATAGTTATTGCTGATGCTGCTAATGACATCTATCTTGCGCGTTTAGGACAAATAACAATAACTAAATATACAGAATAGTCCACTGGAAACAGTGTAGCTATTGATCTGCTGTAGTCTTTTGCCACACGTGTGACTTTTATTTCATTGCATTATTTTATATTTTTTTTAAATAAAAAAGTATATCTATAAAATAATTCGGCGCAATAATCATAATATATATTTACAAGTTACGATCAGGCTAGAGTATAAAGTTGAATGCAAATATTTACATCGCCAAACTCCAAAGGGAAAACTAAACTGAAGTCATTCCAACCTCTTTCATTAATTTTAAGACATTCCCTTTGGAACCGTGAAAACGTATTTAGCGACACAAAAAATTTTATGAGTTGATAAAAATTTATTCAAAGCTATCACTTGAATATATGTTGCTTCGCTCTTTATCGCGTTATCTTTTCATATAAAATAAGTGTTTTGAAAGATAAAAACAATTTTATAAAATTAGTTTATTCACGGGAAAAACGTATATAACATTTTAGAATCAATATAAGAGCGGCGAGTGAAAGTGTGTTCCGCGTTTAAACATTTTCGAGGAGTCTTTTTTATCGCTGCAAACGAATTTCACCGGCACGCAAAAATACTCGTAAAACATTGAAGAGCGCAACAATTTATTTTTATGGAAATATGCGCGTGCATAAAAGATTTTCGTGTCCCGCGAAAGTATATTCATTTGCGAACACAGAGGTTTCACGCGTCGCGTATCATGTGGAAATTAATTGGGTGCGGCTGTAAATATTCGTCGGGTGTGAAATTTTTATTCGTCCGCTGCGTCCGCAATAAAATCGTTCATACTATGAATATCGCATAAATTCAATTTCGTATTGCATTATCTTGTTATGCGAATACAATTTGATCGCGCGAAGAGTGGCGGTACTTTATTTCAATATTAAATGCTTTTCCGATGTCCTGCGTCTTTAATTATTAAATTTATGCGAGACACTGCAATAGCACCGAGGAGACAAAAGGAAGGTGCGAGTGGAGAATAACAAGAGAGAGGCGCCATTAAAAATGCTGAATAAACATGAAGGCGCGGTGAAATTCTTTGCCTCGGACAGTATAATCGCCGCATACACGCATTAGTGCAAATGACGCACAATTTGCAAATAATATCATTCTCTTGAGATTATTGCAGTTTTTTAATAAATAGCATTATCAGTTTACCCATTTTATCAAAGATTATCCATTATAAATTTTATATTTATCAATCAATTATTTCCAATTTAATGTTTAACTCGTAATAGGTTTTTCGCAATCACACACAAAAATTTGCGTTGCGTTATATTAAATTATTTTATGCTTTAAATATTGAAGAGTTATAAAACGAAATAAAATAAAATATTTAATTAAACTTCTGCTGTAAAAAATCAACTTATTAAACAAGTCTGATCTTTCCTGCCTTTTTCTACTCATATTTCTAGAACGTGGGACAAAAAACCCATTAAAGTTATTCTTGATTAACGTTTATAGAAATGGCTTTGAAATATTTCTGTTGGTATAATAAAAGAAACCTTATAATACATTTTGATTAATGAGGAGAGCAATTTCCATTAACGGCACATTCATTAATATACATCAATTTTAAAGAGTTCTAAGTTGCGTTAATTAATACATCGCATATTCGAAAGTATCTAAACGTTAAATATACTAAAGAGTATCAGATCATACTTCCATGGTATCGTTAGCATCCCCAGGTCCAGCTTGTTCACCAGCTCGTCGATGATGACGGCCAGCTCTCTTTGGCATCGTGGACGACTTAAGACGATGCCGTCGGCGTCCACCGGGGATCAAGCCCCTGACACGTTTACTAGGTGGGGATTCGGTGTTCCACGTGGAGGCGGAGCGACGTCGCGCGTCGGGGTGCCGAACCAACGCGGGGGCGTCCAACCCCCGAGGCGCCTGGTGGGGAGTCGTGGTGAACGCAGTCCCCGACGGATCACCGAGACGGTGCAACGCGTCCCGCCGGCTCCGCTCGGTACTCGAACGAGACCTTCGCCACGTGACCGCTGTCAGGAAGCCGCGTTCAGTAGAAAGCGCTTTGATCGATTTTCCCTGACCAC